TATTATCTTGAAGATTTTGATAGTTAAATTAACTTTTTATTTAAAAAACAAAATGATAACATTAATATTGACTGGAGTAATAACTAAATACTCAAATGAAAAATATTTTTTTTTAACATATTGATTAATTTGATCAAGTATTAAATTATTGGTAGACCTAAATTAAAGCAATACTCATTTAAACATTAATCAATAGTACATGAAATAATTCAATGTTTTTCTTAAAGTGTATATAATAATTTAGCTTTTAAGATCTAAGTATTATTAATTTTAGTATTAACAATTATTTTTACAAAAAAAACTTATTATTAGGTTATATTACTAAATATAGGTTAAGCAATAATTAGGTAATTACAAAATATTTAAGTACATTACAAGAGTAATATGAAAGATATAAAATAATGTGACTTTAATGTTTAAAAAAAACCTTATTTTTTAAATTAAATTTGGAAAATGAATACAAAATTTGGAATGAATACAATTTTTAAACATGTTTTTACAGACAAATTTTCAACTGTATTCATTTAACATGATATTATTCCAAAATAAATTTTGATTTAAATATATATTAATTATTTTGATCCAACTAAAATATTTAGGTATAACTTGTATTTGTAGTTAAAAAAATTAAATGACCAGAAATAAAATAAAAATGACGTAGTTTTTACAGGAAAAAATTTCAACCTATAAATTCAACAAGTACAATTTGGTAAACATTGTAGGTACATTTGTAACATTTTAAAATTAAAGAGCATTTAAGAAAGGTGAGTTTAAAGTTTTATTTTAATAGTAAATAATTAAATACTCAACTATATTTAATCATCCAGAGAACAAGCTATCAGAGATACTCCCAAGTCTTTAGCTCATACTACAATATAAATTTTATTTAATAGGTATTATTGGAAAAACAAAAAATATTTCATTATCTTTTACCTGTATATTCTAATAAATAATTTAATATACAAGAAAATAGTAAAAATAATAGAAGCACTATATTATTTCTTTTTAAATACAATTAACCATCAAAATTTTATCTTACAGCATACAATATAATGAAAATCAAATAACTATAGGTAATTGATTATAATTTGAAGATAGGATTCAAAATATTGTAAAGGATAAGCTGCTATAAATATAAGCCAGTTACAAATTTAAATATATTAAGTTAATATCCATCTACTATTTATCACAATAACATCAATTAATAGTTATTTAAAGGGAAGATTCATCAACTTTTTGTAAATATATAAAGTAAAAATCATATTTTCTAATGAACCAATTATTATACACCTAAATAAAATACTATTAATAATTACTTATAATATGTTATACTTGAATTTATAATTATATGACTACAAAATGTTAATTTAATTCTACCACTTTATAATTTATGATTCAAAATAGGCATTCGACCTTTATTTTTTTTTTTTTATTCAGATAATAATTTTAATATACTTAGGTATCTAATACTATAAGCTAAGAATACTAAATCATAGATATGAAATTATCAATATATTGACATCAAAATACACTTTGGTAGCTTAGATTCAAACATTAATGTACTACTTATAATTATACATACCATTTAATTGATGGTTATTTGAATTAGTCAAGTTTCCCTCCTTGACTTCTAGTGTCATTGCAAATGGCTTCTGATCTGCTCTTTAAATTAAATTAAATTATTCGGCCGGGAAAATTACCCAGCACTAAAGGTAACAAATTGGCCAACAAAATATAAAAGGCAATAACATAAAATAAAATAAATCAAAATTTAAGTAATTTTAGTTCAAAAAATAAATATTTTTTAAAACGTGACTATTAAAATTAAAAACATCGTGATGATATTTTACAAGAAAATGAAGACAAATTAATTTGTAGAAGTGGTCAGGAGAAATGGTAACTTTTAACCGGATCAGTGTAGGCAAATACACAGAATGTATTTTTTATCCCCAATGTTTAGTCATCCTTATCAAAACATTATCTATGACATATATTGTATTATCTATGGTTATCATCATGAACTATAGATTATAGAATATTATTTAATGAAGCAATTACTCTATGGTATAGACTATAGACTCACAGGCCACAAGACACAGGCATACAGTAAATAGAATAGACATTAATTAATAACAAATTAGAAATTAGTTATACTACTGTTCATAGCTTACAATAACAAGTCAACGGTGGTGGTCATCGAATAATAAATAAACTATCTGTATATTCTATATTCTGTTGGTGGACCTTTTGTCAATCACATAAAGATATTATAGATTATTAAGGTATATTTTTATTTTCTGTACATAGACAATTGTATAACAGCTTAAACAGTTAATTTTGTACCTAATACCCTAATTCTAAACTGTATTTAAAGTTGAAATAGTTCAGTGATGTAATGACAAAATACATAATAAATGATAATAGGATTGAGTAAACATTAGACTTTACTCTTTCGAGTTGGTTTTAGCCTTTAGTGATCTTTAGAAAATCGAGAGTACAAACTTGTATGAATCTAATTGAAGTTCATCAGGGTCAATTTTGTTTTGCGCCAATGTTTATGAATAAATCAGTGCGCACTACTCAGTGGTGCAGTTTGGTATTATGCGCCCTGTAGGGCAACATTTATTGATGCCTTCCATTGTGTACTTCTGTCTATAGAATTATAAAATGTGTATGGGGTATAGACTGATCCTTATTTATTATAATTAATTTGTATGAAGTAAATAATAGTACATTTAAACTTGTTTAATAATAGGTACATGTTTTATTTAAAGTAAAATAAAATATTATTGTTATTGTAATTTGTAAAAATTTATAAGAAAGAAATTGAATTTAGGTTTAATATAGAATTTAAATAAATGTTTTTAACATTTGGCGTAGTCTTAAGTATATATTGTGAATTAGAGTAGGCGTTAGAACAAATAACAGTATATAATATATATTTAACATAAAGATTAATGATATTACTATTAGTATCTACCATCATTAAAAACCGTTGTATTTAAAATTAATGTTTGAGGAAGTGTATTTTTACCTGTTGGTAGAATTAATAATAAATGTCGAAACATATTTTGGATTGTTTTTATGGAGAATTTAATTTAATTTACAAATTTGTATAATAAGAGTTGCAAGACTTTTGTATTTGAATTTTAAATGAAAGAAAGAAATAAAATTAAAATCAGAAATATTTTTGAATTTTTTTAAGACAAAGTGAGATTTTTTTTTTGAATAGCAATTTTAATATATACCTACGTATTAGTATAATACAATGTATTAATTTATTGTATCATCAACTAGGTATTATAATAATACATAATGCATATTACATATATCATTATTAATATTAACCATTTAAATCAAAACAGATTTAACGTAGAATAACGTGAATAGATTAATAGTAAAAATATGCAATAGAAAATTAGAATAAAATTAATCTAAATGCTATAAATCATTATTTACCTAAGTAGATATTATATAAAATTATATTTTTATATTTCTATGTCTCCTTAGATAACATTTTTGAATTACCAACAAAAAAACTAATCAATTATTTACTAAATTGAGTAAAATCGTTGTTTTACAAATTTTTAAATACTTACAAAATAATTTGCAAATTTATCAAAATTTTAACTTTTATTAGGTACTAATATAAACTATGAAAGCTTAACAACTAAGTAATATAACAAGAAAATTGTGCATAAGTCCATATTATTATACAAAACAAAGATAATTCTGATAAGAACATAAAATTATGAACCTAATGTAGTTAGTTCCCACATTAAAATTAAACAATACCAATTTATGAGGAAAATATATAACTATATGTCTGAATAGATAATTAAAATTTGCTTTTACTAAAAATAACGTTATTAGAAAATACAAAAGAGGCTTTTTGATAGCTGTAAACTCGAAAATAAAAAAAGTAAATAATACTTCTATGTTTGAAGAAAAATTGAGATGGATTTTATTAGAGAATGAAGCTATATAGAGTATAATAATGATTTATTGGAATTGGAATTTAAAGTGAATTAAAGAAAGTTATCTTTGGTTTTAGAAGAAAGAATAATGGTGATGCATGTTCTTGTTGAGTTTGTATGTTGGAAAATTTAAGTATTTTTATAAACAAAGTAGCCACTATAATAATTGGCTGGGTACTAAGGCGTAGTATCTACACAATTGACAGAAGAGTCTGGTGAGTGGTGATATATTGCTTAATATTTACGTCATAAAATTTGAACTTTAAACGGTCAAAAATAAAAAATAAAACATAACAGTGAACTAAGAAAATAATAAATTAAGTGCCAATTAAATGTTTCTATGATTTAAACTTATTGAATTATAATTAAATTCTTTGATGAGAAATCGTTACAATAAATACCCAATGTCATCAAAATGGACAAAATGTAAACTTCAGAAATTAGATGCTGTGATCCTTTAAATATTATACCAAGTTTTGGTAGCACTGTTATTTAGCTGAAGGGAATAATTACCATTAAATATACAAGACTACACAAATAAAGATAGTGTTATCAATATATACCGTATATTATGAACATTGAACTCTATATGATAACTGGAATGCTCACCAAGCAGTGTTGCCCGAAAGAGGATGTTAGAATGAGATAGCACATACTAATGGTGTTACTATCTTTGTCTTGCACATGGCGCTAATGTCTTAATTTCATATTTTACCGCGATATTATTTTAGTTTGGTTCTTAAAATGTAGTTGCACCTCATTATTTTTTTTAACTTCCACAAAATATTTTTTATTAATTTAATAAAATATAAATAATTAAATGATAAATAAATAGTTTATTAGTTTATAATTATAATTTAAAATAATATAACAAGTATTGAAACATGTTTTTTTGTAGACTTCTGCATTTTTTTGTCATATAAAGGAAGTAATAGGAAATTTTAAGTTGGGAATAAATTAAGTTGTAAATTGAAAGTTAGAAGGTTTTAGTTCATAACTCAAGCATATGAAATAACAACTGCATTTTTAGTAAAATAATATTTATTAAAATATAAACATAGTATTTATAATATTAATCATAATTGAAATAAAAGTGTACTTACGCTATTTACCTGGAGCTATATCTACTACTTACTTTAGATTGTACTTACTACTTTCCTAACTTAAGCTTAATATTGTAGATTTATAATTTAGGAAATATTAGTACTGGAAATATCCAGAAAAACAAAATCTGCAATACATTTTGTTATACTTCATGGCCAAATTTCCTAAAATAAATAAATATTTAAAGATACTATGATACTTTGTAGATACTTTAACTATATTCATAACCTTGGAGTTATATGATCTGTTAAGTTAACTAATGTAACTTATGTTGAGTTGACTTCAGCTAGATATTTTTCCTGTAATGACAATAAAACTATAAATTAATAAAAAAGGTATTACAGTTAAAATAAACTATCAAGATATTCATTTAAATAAGAAACCATTGTAAAATATAATAGTTTAAAATAAATAGATTTATTAAATTTTAAAGCATTAAGCATAAAGCATATTAAAATAAAATCATACACTACAAGTTAACAATGTTATATTATGATAAATAAGTGCATAAATGAGCAGTAGTGTTGAAATAAAAGCATACAATGAAAATATTTAGTAGTTGTTGGAACTAGTTAGTATTGGAACTAGGTTTAAAATCTTTCCTTCGAACAGCATGCACCCATTTTTGAAGCCTCTCTTTATCTTTAAGAGGGAACCTTAAATATTAAAATAATAGATGTAAATCTGTTTAAAAATATCAATGAGTAAAATCAATAACACCATATAATAACTTAATACTAACTTGTGAAATGACAAGTCTTTTCTAACATCACTAGAGCTAGCACAATTAAAGGCACTACAAAAATTCACCATTTTAAGTCTTAACTGCACAGTAGGTACACACTATTTTAATTATTTTTAAAACTTTGAGAACGCAGAAGGCAGAACAAAAGTCAAAACGTTAAACGAACAACGAATTTAAAATGTATTGGTAATCAATTCATATAACTATGTGTGATAAAAAAAGATAGCAACACCATTCTTATCTGCTGTCTTTTTCTAACACGCTATCTCGGTTATGTTTACATTGGTCTTATGACTGGTGAGCATTCCAGTTATCATATAGAGTTCAATGATTATGAACTATAAGAAATATTATAATCAAATATTATCTAAAAATTGATGGAATTCTAGAATTATCATCTTAACAAAGTTTTTGATATTAATTTATTAAATTTATTTTATTATTCTATGTTCTACTAGTCAGTAATTAATTAAGTTGAAATATTATTAAAGTATTTAACTTATTAATTGTATTTATTATTATATTTCTATAAAAATGAATTCCAAAATATCAAGTTTCCTGAAAATGGCAAGAATCATGCGACCACATAATGTGCGTACAGCCACCACATCGTCTACTGGAGCATTATTGCCTGAACCACAAAAAATTCCTTTTGGGCTTGTGGGTATAATTTTCACGGTAGTCCCGGGGTTATTAATTGGAGCCACCATAAGTAAATATATGGCCAATTTTCTAGAAGAAAATGAATTGTTTGTTCCATCAGATGATGACGACGATGACGATTAAAAGTATTTGATAATTGTTATTGTTACACTTTGAATTTTATCTCGTAATACCTAATTGTTATTTAAATTTTTACTTGGCCCTTATATTCTTTTGCCTTAATGTTATTGAACTATTTAATTGTATTTACATCTAATCTCTCCCTATTAATTATTTATAGTATTATAAAAATATAATATAGTTATAACTATTCAAATAAATGTTTCTAGTCAGTAATAAAATATTTATATTATGAATCGTGTATTAAAAGTATTGATGTTTTATTATTTTAATATACCTAAGTATATCTACTTATCATTCTAATTTAATGAAAATAAAAAAAAATAATTCTTAAGTACTTTATATAGTTTTTATTTATTACAATTAAGAATTATGTTTAATAAGTAGTACACATAAATACTGTTTCTCGTTTTAAGTGTCTAAATTTTTACTTAACAGTTATAAATCTTTTGTAATACATAACCTAATAAATTTCTCAATTTTTGTGTGTGATAAAATATACGCTTCTATTAATATGCAATTGCATATGATCATTTAAATATCAATGAATAGTTTTTATTCAATTTTAATATCCTTGAGTATATTATGATTATACATTAATCCTAATAATAAATATTGAAGATTGGATAAGCTGTTTTGAGGTGAAGGATGTATAGGTTTAACTCAATGGTTTATATTATTATTTTTTTCCAATTATAGAAGGCATGAAATGGTCTGTATCTTTATAAGACAATTGATGAAAATAACAAATCAATAATTAGATTGTAGTTAATAAAGCAATCCAATAAGCAAGTTTAGCAAAAACAAAAATGTGAACATCGATTTCTAGAGTGTCTAATGAAGGTTAAACAAGAAATTAATTAAGTGGGAATAGATATGTCAGTGGGAGAAAAGTTGGTATAGTTTAGTCATGCAGTAATGAATTTAGAATTCCATTGAGGGGAAAGATATAAATTAAATTTTTAATGCCAAACATCCCAGCATTTTATTACCTACTAATAAAATGATAAATGAAAAAATGTTATCTAATATTTAAACATAAGCAAAAAAGGGAGATATATCTCCCAAATATCTGCTCGTAAATATACCACTGAGGTCATATCATGAAGAAAGGTGATTTAGAAACAGTTTAAAGTAATTAAAAAATTAAAATTAAAAGGAATATCAAAGAAGCGATGGATAGATAGAATAAAGTATGACTTGAAAATGGGTATTATTAGTAAATGAAAGGTAGAAAGCAAAGTCTATGGAGGTATAACAGTAGATGTAGACCCCATACTTTAGGAAGCAAAGGGTGAATAATAAACAAATAGATAACCTATAGAACACAGAAGAAAAGTTAAAAAGTGTGGTAATATGTTGCAAACATGTTATGTATGAATAATTGTAAGTTATAAACTTTTTTTGAAACTTATGAAATTAAATACAAAGTTTTGTTTGCATATTGTTTCTTTACATTTTAAAGTACAGGCGTGTAAAAATGTAAGCCTTTTTTAACAACTATAATATTGAGGCATATTTTCATAAATAATTTTAGAATTTTAAGTTCCAAATACTATCTATGATATGTATAATATATAAATAGTTATTATTTATTTATGTATCTACTAAATAATTATAAATTAAAGTATACATTTGTAGTTAACTTATTTCAGTAATTATTTTTTAAACAATTTTCTTTTAAGCTAATTTATATTTACTAATTAAAAAGTTATAATGTCAATAAAAATAATTATTAACTACATCCAAGTAAGAATTCTGCAGCATTTTTTGGGTACCCGTCTTCCGTCTTATTGTATTTATGATTAAACTTCCAAAATTGATTTCCAGTAAAAAAAAAAGTATCTCCTAAAAAAATCATCCACATTAAGTTATATGCTTAATCATTAAAAATTTTACTGCTCTAAAAAATAAGTTAGATAAATTAGGATACATAAATGATTAAAATTAAAAAATAAAATAATTTTAAATGACATTTATGGTAATATGCTTAAATAGTGTCTTCATTCATAAATAATTATATTTATATTGGAACGTATATCAAATATATACAAAAGTCTAATAGAAATTGTTACTAAAAATTAATCACTATTCAGTTTTATTCAGAAAGATAACAATTTTCATAGCGTACATAATTAAAAAGAGTTATAAAAGAGATTTTTTAGAAAAAACTTTTTTAGTTAATTAGTTAGTTGATTTACTAAGTCGGAAGGAAAATTTTTATGTAATCATTTACTCTAATAGAGCCACAGTAATAGATGTTTATGTAAACCACTCATTTTGTATTCAAAATTTTTGTTAATTACATATTCTTTATACCAAAATTTACAAGATGAGTTTTTTTATCCCAGATTATGTCTTATTTAAATTTCATAAGAGGTTTTGATTGTTGTTTAGTTGGTTATTAGTATAATTTTTTCACCTTCTAAATTATTACATTGTCTACATTTAATATTTTATAATATAAACATTTCTAATGCCATATATTGTGAGGATATATTGCTATAATTACAAATATTAAAACATAAACAACTATCTACTGATAATTGATAACAATACCAATACTGAAAAATTAAAACAACTTTATATCTATAAAGAAATCAAAAATCTATAACTAATACAATTAATAATATATTATATTTACCAAATTTCCATGTAAGAACATCATCTATTGGAGTTTTTACGCCTTTGAAATGTTCTTTAATTGATCTATGCCTTTGTAATAACAATTTATGATCATCATCATACACCCAAAAGTATTCTCCACTTAAAAATAATTGTAGTTTAATATTTAAAGATTATATTTTCAAAAGTAAAAGATGCTATTCATACAATTATTTTTATTCAATTTTTCTTGCTATAAAGAAATATTAATATTGGTTTTCAAACTTAAAAATGTTTTTTAATAATTTAGTTAAAATATTTGAAACGAAATCTTCAATGATACTAGATTATAAATCCAATTTTAATATATTTTTTAGTTATAGAAATGTATACCTTATGAATGTATATACATGTTACAAGGTATCATTTGAGAATTCTGTTGATACAATTTTTATGAAATATTAAGCTTAATTTTTTATACAAAAAAAATATTGAAAAATACATTTATAACCTTATACATTTCATTTTTGATAAACTAAAACCGATTTTCTTATTATTTGGTTTATACATTTTTTTTATGTTTGGTAATGTCATTAAAAACATTAAATTTTAATGCTATGAGCTTATATTAAATAAATAATTTTTACTTGATCATATACCTAAAAAGATAAGTAATTGATGGTATTCCATGTATCATAACTGCATCAACTTTATTAACAAAATGTGGAAACCCGTAATCCATGATAGATCTAGGACTATTTTCTATTAAATGATTTCCATTGAAAACATAAAAACTATTACCTAAAAAATTAAATAAGGTATTAAAATATAATAATTAACATGTTATACAACTTTGTTTAACCAATTTTAAACAAAAATAGACTTATACATAATTATTATTAGAATAGATCTTTATTTTAAATTTAAATTTAAAAAAAATAATAAAAATAAGATAAAACTCTTTGTTTATCCAGAACTATGTTAATTAATATAATTATTAATTAAGTAATACTATGTGTAGATATTAGTTTCAATATAACCGATTGTTATGATTGGTTTTGAACTATCATAATAACGTAATGTTGACATCAGTGGCATGGTTATGATTTTGTTCTAAGGGGATGCATAATTTATTGGATAAACATAAATTGGGGGCTTATAACCAAGCCCTATATTGCATATTATATTATCTGTGATTATAACATCATTTGGGTAATTTTAGAATCTTATATCAAATATAAGTCAACGCATTAAACACTAAAGAAAATGGTTCCGGGGAAAATTTATCCCCCTTATCTTCCCCTATAACTATGCCACTAATTAACATTGTTGATTAAATACTTGTTTTTATGATTTAATAATACATTATAATAGTATTTTTCTACCTACATATTAGGTTTTTAGTATAATAATAATATAACTATATTACTAAGTACTAACTAAAATATTGTTTGTTTTTTTTTTTGGTTAGAATAATATTTAATATTTACCTACCATGAAATAACACAATATTGGAGTCTGGCCTTTCATATACTGCATCAATTTTGACAATGGTTTGATTGGAATCAGCTAATACTTGAAAAAACCTCAATAATTGAACTGGATAACGTGGTAGTATGGATCCTGGGTTGTTTAATCTCCATAATAACTTATTATAAATACATTTATTGTAAACATTTTAATTATAAATCACTCTTTCACACAGTTTATAAAAATATGTTTGTCAGTTATAGGTTTATAGAGATTTCAAAAATATTTGTTATAAATTGATTTCACTGATTGTTAAAAAATTTACTTATTAGTTCACAAAATTGACATATTATTATTAATTAGCACAGATTTATTCTGAGATAAACTATCAACTAACAAGCAAAATATTGACAGTGACTACCTATATTATAAATTTTCAACCAGTTTTTTAGTGTTCAACTTAATTTTTAAATACAAACACGATATTTTTTAATTGATTCAAAAACTATTTATGGTAGGTAAATCTCTCATAATATTTCCAAGTTTTTTGAATTAAACTTTAACAACAAATTAAAGAAAAAGTCAATTATTTTAGAACCTAGTCTATAAATAATTTGCACAAAATATTAATATAATACTAAAAGTAGTGAAAGTTTGATGTCAATTTTTTAATTACGATACGAAAAATTATGATATTAAACTTTTTTTAATAACTTCTATTATTTCTATTATAATAAACTAAAAAAAAAGTTTTAATGTTAATAATAATGATATTGATATTGATATTATACTATATTTTTTAAAATATATTTGTGCTATTTATTGATACTTTTAGTTTTTTCAAATATTTTTAATGTTAGTATTTTTAGTGAAGCAGCTTAGGTTGTTGAAATTAAAAATATTAAAAATATATAGAAAGTAACAATTGTTTGTATAAGTTTTTTATAATAGAAAATAAATACTCTGATCATCAACTTCTAGAAAGGTTTCTGATGGCAAGTTTGATCCAGTTAATACTCTATAAATCGAAAATATAAATGTTTTAATACTTTTTTTAATTATTGCCGGTAAAAAACCACTTTTATTGTTTTTTATTATTTTAAAAGTACTAAAAAAATTCTAAATTTATTCTGATCTATCAAAGTTAAACTAGAGCCAATGTTCAATCCAAAATCTTGTTCAAAAAATGTTCAAAGCTTTTTTTTCTAGAAAAATAGTTGTTTCAGACGTATATTTTTTTTTTTTTTAACAACTTAAAATTAATTTCACTCCTCTCAGAATTTAAAATATTAATCAAACAGACTTGAAAGTTTATTCATCATAGAATATAATGTATATTATTAATATTTACAGAATTAAATGTTCAAATTATAAAATACTAATCAGTACTCACTAATAAGCTTTTGTGTACCTATTCTCAAAATTATCTATATTGCATTAGTATTTACATAAAAGTTAATAACAATAATATGTAATATACCTAGTAGATTGTAAATATAATAAAATTCTTTTTTATTGTTCATTTTAGTTTATGAAAATGTGTAATAGGTATGTTTTTGGTTAATCACATTTTAAAACTATGAATGTTTTATTTAACTGTTATAACTTATAATAATTAATAGGTTTATATATTTTATAATCTAGACTATTTTTCTTATTTATTCCAAAATCCAAGTGCATTAATTAATTACAAATATATAATAATACAGATCAATTAATAAGAGTTAATTATGGTTTATGCATAAATAATAATTAATAGATTAAGTAAATGTATATGTAATATAATATATCTATATATTATTTACAATTTCATTTTGTATAATCAATTATTATTAAATTAAAGGCTATGTAAACTTACGCTGTTTTTGAACACGAAAATTTCTCCACGAATACATGAAATAGCATCAAAATTGCCTAGGCATTCATCTATTTTATCATTTTTTTGAGTGGAGATTTCAGGCTTATAAGTAGTTACTGACTCTGGTGTTACAACATTATCATCTGTACACGATTCATGGCTAAATGAAGACCAATGAACATGTGGTTTATTAGGTATACTAGGCTGTGGTTGGATAGTACTTTCTACAAAATGCACATGATCTCCGGGCAGAGTTCTAGAAACTAAAATTTAATATTATTATACTTTTATTTATTACTAAACATGTATAAAATTTTACATTAGTCTAATTGAAACCTCTATTAAAAAATTCTAATTTGAAAAAAAACTTTACATCATCAGCGTAGGTACAGTGAAGTTTTATTTTTACAAACTAGTGGGAAATAATATTGAATATTGATGAAAAGAGAAATTAACGGAGGACACATTACAATATTCAACATAGAACTGAAATAAATATGCACTAAATTAATTACCTAATATGATATTATAAAATATGTATTTTTAAAAACAATTTTAACTTATTAGTTATTAAAAATTTAAGTAGGTATGTCAAATTGATACCTTGACACCCTTGAAACCAAAATTTGTCATATATACAAGTTCTTTTAGTCAAAATTAAGTTACAGAATATTTTTGTATTTTCATGACGCACACAGTATTCAAGCTGTAGATAACAAAATAAATATATTAGCTGGATGATCTTTAATTGGCTGATACATAATTTTCGAAGAGTATAATATACAAAATTACACATTTTGAGAAAATTTAATTGTTTTAAAACACAAAAATAAAATTATTGAATAATAAAATATTTTTATTAATTTATTAAATATTTACAATCTACTCTATTTGTACTTAGAGTAAATTTGAGAGGGCGATTGATGATGACAGATGGAGAAGTGGAGGAAGTTCACAGTAAAACTACCTGGATTGAATAAAAGCAATTTTAAGTGCAGTTAAGATATGAAATGATTTGAATTTCATGTTGAAATTAAGTTCTCAATAAAAAATTGTTGCACTCTCTTTGATTGTGGAAACTTTAATGTCTACATGTAGAAAGACATTTGTGATATACTGTGACACTTTGATGAATATACGGAGACAAATGGATTGGAAAGCAAGTATTACCCTGAGATTTGAGGATTTTATACAGTGTCTCAAGGAACAATGCCTTACATCCATATTGGTTGGAGGAAAATTTTGTACAAAAATAAATTATTTGAGAGATTTTTGTTGGAATTAATGAATATTATTTAAGGTGTAGACTGTAGACGGATGTCAAGTTGTTTCTTTTTACTTTGAAAATGAGGTCTTCATGTGAGACTTTTATCAAGTAACAGACCAAGGTATTTTACTTCCTTAAATGGGAGATAACGGAATTGTTAAATGTAATTGCAGGTTAGTCCTTAGGTCTAAGGCCTAAGGAAAAATGTAATGTGAATAGATTTTAGTTTATTTTATTTTATTATCCACTAATCATTATCCAGGGATTGCACCAATGAGATAGCACGTTGAAATTATTTTAAGGAAAGTAACTGCAGATAAAGGAATTGGAGGTAGCTATAGCATGGCAATATCATCGGTGTACGTTTTGATGAGAATATTTTCAGTGACAGGTTTTTCATCTGTAAAGATGATGTACAAAAAAAAGAACAATGTTACTTCCTATTATGGTACGCTGGCAAGTATACTGTTATTGTTGGAGAACATAGAATCATCCTTGTCTTGAAAGACATTTTTATAAGATTATGAGCGAGGAATATTTTTTAAATTTATATAATAAGCCATTATGCAAGATCGAATCGAATGATTTAGCATCATCGGGAAATACAGCTGAACAGTATTTTTTTCATTTTAAGGAAATATAGTACCTATTAATTATTTTCGTATAGAAAGATTTGATTAATACAAAATACATTAAGTTAAAATAAGTTGAAATTTAAATATATATAAATGTTTTTCTAAAACTTAATATATTTGTTATTGTAATTTTCTTTAATTTTATTTTTTTATACTTACAAAATAAGATAAATAATTTAAGGTATATTAGTGGTTAGGTATTTATGTCTTCTATACTAAGTATAAGTTGTCAAGTCTTGACGACGAAATTTTATGGTATCGAGGCAATATCTTCGGAAGATTATTGTATTAACATTTCTATAATTTATCCACTATAAAAATTAAAATAAATCTAGACCAGTCAAATGTATTATTATATTTTATATAGTATAAGACTAACACTGATCATATTAAAATATTTTTATCAAAGACTAATAAATATATTATGAAAAGCCTAAATAATAATAATTATTACTTTTTTCAATAATTTCCAAAAAATTAAGTTTTATTGAAACAATAACCATAAATATTTCTATTTTTTTAGTGAATTCAAATTGTGTAAGACACCTGTAATCCCTAAACGGTCTAAACTATACACATGATGTATAATAGTATAGTAGCATGACATAGGATATTTTGTTTTATTTTGCTTTTACATATTACTTAATAGTTATAGATGTATAGTCAAAAATAAATTGATATACTATTATTTTTCAATAGTCTTACTATATAATGAATGCATTCCTAATATATCGTCATATCCGATATCTTGAGGTTGTGGACCTGTGTAATAGGGATTCATAATAGAATTAGGCTCTGATGAATGTCCCAATCCTAAACTATGCCCCATTTCATGAATAGCCACAGAATAGAAATCAACACCTAAAGTATAATAAACACATCCATATGACTGTATAAGATATAAATTACCATAACAAAATATTACATATACCATAATTAGAATTATCTAATGTCCAGTCTTCGCTATCGTCAAAATGTATATCCCCGCCTAAAACTCCTAGTTCTGTTGGATAAAAAGCATGCGCAAGGACATTACCAGGACCATCAAATGGAAACCTATCAAATTATTAAATTGTAAATTTTTGAAAACTAACTATATATAATTATCCATTTATTTCTACTTAATAATATATATTGATAGTTAATTATAATCTATATAGTTTACTTAATAAATATAGGTATACCTATTATCTACATGACTACTTCGCACTTACTGATCTCCGTGATTGGAAACACCAAATGAAATTAAAATATCTGCATTACCATTATATACTTCTGTAAAAATAATTCGACTATACCGACTCCACTTTGAAAATGCACTTTGAATTGCATTTCTTATACCATCACGTGATAATTTTGGGGTAAAATTAGAAATGCTAGTTTAAATATAAAATATTCATAGATTAATAAAATATAATACACAATATTGATAAAACTTGCTACCTACATCGATATTATAAAAGAATTAAATCAAACAAAGTCCTCAAATATTTATTTTTTTTTCCAAAACTTAATACTTATAAAGTTATAAATTTTAATAAAATTATGAAAATAAACTTAAAATAGTGGTAGATGTATAATAATCTAATTATGTATAATACCTATATGTAGATACAGTGGCGTCTCTAGGATTTTTTTTATGGTGGGTGCTATTTTGTTAATAAAAATAGTCCTAAATTACTTATTATGTGCAATTTATGCGTGGTCGCCGACCGGTGTTTGCTACTCCACGGTGCGGAGCGCGCGTTCTGGTAGCCCGTACCAAAAATTTGGCCCTCGGCGAATTATTAGTAATTTTTAATAAAAATACACGGAATGGTGGGTGCTTCAGCTCCCAAGCACTCTCTCCTCCCTAAATCCACCACTATGTAGTTATATTATTTTTAAAATTATGTAACGCTCGTAGTCACGTGAATACTCTGCAAACTGCAAAGACACTACGTGGCCCATAATTTCAATAACGGTAAAACGGTTGTTATAGTAAATAGTAAAGAAACCCAATTCCAATAGAGACACCGTATATTTTCTATTTTTTTATACTTACAAGAATAACATCACATTATTTGTTTTCTGTCCCTGACTCACACGCATAAGTGAGCAACATAGCAAATTTGCATTTAATCGAATAAATCTTCCGTTTAAAATGTTAGATATTAGAATGAATTGATGATTAATTAGTTATTATATTAAACTTAAAATTTAGAACATAATCTGTGTTTGTACGTTGGTTTTTTTATAAAACTTACATTTTGTATGGAAGTTATAATTTTATAAGTAGATAGGTATGTAAAATATTACAATTAAAAAATGCTCATTTATCGCAAAATTTATAGTTTATTAACTAATATTTAAACACAGATTTTATAACAGCACAAGAGGGTATTCTACAAATTTAGTATGTGGTCGAATAAAAAACAAATAATACCACAGACTACAATCATTAAACCTAGTGTAAGATATGGTCGTATGGACTTTGGAGTAATAAATTTAAATAAAATATATTAGGTTATATTATAACTTATAAGCATTAGCAACTAAGCAAGTAATACGGGTATGAACTATAAAAAGTGGTGTATATATTTTACTTAAGAGGTTTATCTACATAAGTTTGGATCCAAGAAAACCCTTAATCATAAGACTCAATTGAATAAGAATAATATAAATAGTTTAGGATATATGTAAATTATTGTGTACCTAATAAAATATATAATATTATTAGTTATAGAATTGTAAAATAAAAATATATCCCCAATGAGAAACTCAAAAAAAATTTATTTTACCACTAATAAATATGGTACAAAGTACCTACATTTAATCTTTTTTCTATCATCATCCTCATTTATCCAAGTTCAGTAATATTTTTATTATTTTATTTAACGTCATCTAATGCTTGTTTTGTATAATATTTAGCAAATATAATATTTTATTTTGAAGATTTTTTTTTAGACACGGGGGTTTTTTTCGTAATTTTTTATTCTGTGATTACCAAATTTATTATATAAAAATAATTGGGAAGTAAACTCCAAATAAAAATAATAGTAAAATAAACTCTAATTTCAAGAAAGTTTATCGTGGTTTCCATCACAACCCTTCGGCAATAAATAGATACATCTTTACTTTTTGTAATAGAATACTTACAAATAAGTAAGAGCTCGTTTATTCCAACCATTTGAAGGAGTAACAAATCTTTTATTTTTGGTAATCTTTTGTTTTAATATGTCAGGTACACCACAACGTTTTGACTTCACTAACTAAAACATTTTAATTAGGTACTTAATTTATTATATCTACTCAGTAATCAATAAAATTTTGATTTTAAGCATAACAATTATAAATTAATAATAAAATATAACGACCCACCAACAACCAATGTTTAAATTTGTGGCAATCATAAATACACCTGCACGGGCTGCACTTATCAGATAAAAATGTCATGGGTAGTAAGAAGAAATATTTAAACGTTGACTATCCCCGATACGGTGTAGTAGTGAAATATTAATACAAAACGGGAGAATATGAGAGAATTTAAATAAAAATTATGTTAGACAAGACACCGTGTGCAATTTAACGTACCTACCTATATTGAAACGAAATGCTAATAATATATTTTACTTTTCCGATGAAATGGAATAAGCAATAAGCCAATAAAACGAGAATGCTTAGGCATACAAATTTAGTAAATATACATGAATACTAAGAATAGCTGCACTCAAAGCTCTTTTAAATAATTAAATAATAACAAAAAAAAAAAAAAACTATTTATTAACATGATTTACTATTTTAAATTTTGTATATTTTAAAATTAATCTTAATGTAAAAACATGAAATATAATATTGAAACAAATAAAATTGAATAAATAAAAAAATATATATAGCTACTTTTACCTGTATGGTGATTGGTGGGACTTCGTGATAATACAGAATGAATGTAAGATGATACAGGTGTCTAGCTATTTAAGATATATATATAATAATAAAATAGTAAATACTATAAAATATAAATACCGTAATATTTTTATTAGCAAACAAATTTCAAATAAATTAACAAATTATAAAATTTTACATGACTAAGTTGAAAAAAAATTGGTGAGGGGTGTTTTTTAACTAAATAATGAATATCAAAGACTTAAACTACATAACAAGGTAACAAGATGGCTATACAATCTATAAAGTATATTATATTCTATGGAATTTGGGATAGTAAAATGAGTTTTACATGGTAAATCTGTTATCTATAAAAATAAAATACCTAATTTTCAAAGAATAACCACTATGTACTGTGTGTCTGTGTGCCTGTTACTAGTTGGTAGTCAATAACTCAATGATTAATGAATGTATTAGCTTCCATCTTTCTAATTATATTGTAAAATTTTGAGAATCACCTAAGCAATGTGTAGTGCAGTATTTAATCACGACTTAATCAATATTTTTCACAAAGTGGTCATTGGGAAAACAAAATATTATAAGATTTATGAAATTAGATGATATGTTTTTATCAAAATTATGTTTAAGATTAGGTACTAGATATTAATTACAACTACCCTAGCTACTCATGTTTATGGGAGTTAAGAGTTATTCTATAGACTATAGTGATTAAAAAAATATAAAAATAACTATTATACGTATTATATAATATAATGTCTAGCGTGTTCGTAATTAATTTAATACGTTATGTATACTAAAACAATACATCCGACAATTTTCCATGTGTAAAGTACTCAGTACTTGATACATTGTTGTAATGATTGAACCGACGTTTATTTAATTTTTTATGCTAGTCGAAGCAATGGAAAATATCAATTTTTAGGAAGTAAACTTTTTTATCGATCGACCGGAGGTAAAAAAGAAATACCACTACGCAGTAAGCAGAAAGGTGTAAAATTAAATTACTTAGCGATTAAGAGATCACTATTATATATTATATTAGAGTTGTCAGATTAATATAAAATGATTACTTAATGAACATAAAATTATATAATCGATTATTAGGTGGTAGGTATGTAACCAGGACGCCAGGTGACTATCATGCTGTTTTGTATGAAACAGTCTTACGAATGTATGTAAATACTATTAACAGCAACAATTTACTATGAATTATAAATAAACATAATATATAAATTTATGTTGTATGTGTTTCTCGTACGCAGTGCTGGTTCTAACATTTTTTAACCCGGGGCAAACTATGAAATTGCAATTGGCGCCTTTTTATATAATTAAAAATTTGCACCCCTTTATGACATGCGCCCCGAATTGCCACCCCTAGATCCGGTGCTGCTTGTATTGTACGGGAAACAATTATTTCAGTCTCAAGTTTATTGTCTGCGACTAAAATGGCTCACTTCCCGCCCTTGCCACATAAATTCTCAATAAATTATTATATGAGTGCGGTTAATGGTAATTTTAAAATTTTCTTTCCCTATTCTATCAATATGTTGCTTAACACCTAAAATAATATCCGCGAATGCTTAAAGTAAATTATTTTTATTTTTAAATGAAGGTACTTACGAGTTGAGTTATTACTGTTATTAGTTTCAGAAATGTAAATACTTAATATAGATACCATCATTAAATATATAAATTTTTTTTTTGATACTATGTATTACACTTTTTTAAGCAATTTAACAATAATAAATTAAAACGTATTAAGAATGGGCTATAATATAAAATATTATCACTTCAAAAAACAAGCAAAAAGTTTTAACATTTAAAAAATAGTAAATATGTAAACATTTTATGTACCTAATTCAGAGTAAAAATATAAATATACTTAAATACAAGCCTTTAATGTATCATTATCAAGTACTCCTGTCTGTTTTAATCCACCAAACTTTTGTACTAATTTCAAAGCAGTCATCAATTCATCTTTAGCAGTTAAAGCTTGGGGACCATCTTGATCCATATATCCAAATTTTTGCATAAATTTAATCTATATATTTATATGAAGTAAAAAATATAAATAGTAACAATTTTTTTTTTTTATGTAAGTAGGTTTTATAATTTACCATATCTTGATTTAGATGCACTTTTTGGTTCTCTATGGATTCTTGATTTTGTAATAAAGGTGAACAAGTAATAGTTATGGTAAACCACCAAATGGTCCAAATGTTTATACATAGTAGTTTATAATTCATTATTAGTTAAAAATATAAACTTATTGCAAACTATAAAGAAACAGCTTAACTACATAAAAATAAAATACATAAATGTATAAGAAAAAATAGTTGGATTTTTATTATTTGATTGTCAGTTAAAGTCATAAACAAGTTTCTGACAAAAAATATTATTAAAACGTAAATATCTAGTTTATAGGTTAGTATATTATATCTATATTAAAATTAATGTATAACATAATATATCTCGGGGTCAAACCGATAAGTTTACGTTTTGATAAATCATTAATTAAATGAAAATATTGATAACAATAAATGTAATTAAAATAGATTACCTATATAAAAGAGTATATTCTACTCAATTTTTATTTATACTGACTCAGAAATTTAGGATAATTAATTAGATATTTTATTCATACGCTTACCTGTCATTTAACTCATAATATGGACCAACATTATTTTTATTTTTAATCTATATTAAAATGTCTCACACACGACACACCCTTCTACAGAGCTTATATATTTGTAAATGTTGTTTTAAAATCTATTTTAATATTTATGTACATACACACACACACATACATATTAATAAGTATGTATAAAAGAACAGTTTTGTTCTTAGAATTTTTTTTTTTTTAAAGGAAAAAAATATTGTGATTTTGCTATCTAATATATACTTATAAAACAGCGTTAAAAAAAAAACTTTTTGAGAGCTGATCCTCATAAGTCAAGACTGCACGTAGGTCGTAGTATAAAACTGAAAGGGAAATCCTTTATTATTTATGTTATTACCTATATAACTTTTTATAATATTTTAATTTTTTAAATGTGCTAGTTAAAGTATTAAAATTATATTTTAAAATGCACTTCTTATTTAAAATATAAAATAAAGTAAAAATAATCTATGTATAAATACTGATAACAATTCTTGCTTTTAAGTTTGATGATAGAGATAAATTCATTCCAATATTAAAAATAAAATTGATTCTATTTAACAATACTTATTTTCACATGATGAAAAATAATAAAAAAATATATATATACTTGAAATAAAACAATAATGTCTTTAAAGTTTTTATCCTCAAGTTAAAGGGAATTGAATTATCAAAGAGGTATTTTTCAGAAAAAAATTATGAAAGAATTAAAGTGATCAAATGTTTAATTCTAAACTATTTTATTCTAGTGTTTAACAAAAAAGTGTTTTGAATCAAATTTTAAATTATATGCATTAACACTAATAATACAATTTAAACATTTTAAAATTATAGCTGATATTTATTTTTACCAAGGAAGTACTTTCCCTTCAAAATCATAAAATCCGCCATTGTGTGATTGATCAATGTTTTTTAAGAAATTGCAGATTCCTGTAACAGACTGTTCAACTTCAAGTGGTGCATTAATACCACCCATAGCAGTTTTAACCCATCCAGGATGAACGCTTACAGCTAATATTCCATTATTTTTGAGATCAACACTCAATGATTTTGTAGCAGCATTTATAGCAGTCTAAAATAAAATAAATATAAATTCATTAGGTATTTAAAATAATTATATTATTTTTTTTTTTTTTTAATTATATAAATTTAATAATATATATGTATACAAAATGTTAAAAACAAAATTATTGATTTCTTATTAATACCATCTAAAATTAAGAATGCATAGGAATTAGCAGTAGTGAGCCGTAGAAGACAAGTAATAATGATGACTAACATGTTTAAAAATAATAATACATAATATTGTGATAAATAAACTATATTTACTAATACTTGATTGAATAAATAAATAAATAATAATAATAAATATACATAGATATGTGATTAAGATGGTGGTAAAGGTACCAAAATGCAAACAAGACTAGACAACATAATATTATGATTCTTAGCCATAAGTATCCACAGATACTTTTCAAAAGGGATGCCCGTATGTCAGTATATTTCAAAAATGTTTAAATTTTAACTCCCTTTAAAAAGACATAAAACAAAAATGTTTTTTAAATTAATTTTTATTTAATTACAAAGTTCACAAAACAATGGTCAATTTACATAAAAAAAATTAAAATATATAAAATTTAATTTTATATATTTTAATTTTAACAAAGTTTGAATAAAAAAATAAAATTTATTACTAATCAATATAACAAAAATTAACGTAATATTTTATTTACTTCTGATTTTTGATCAAAAGGATATATATTTTTATTTTTTAAACTCATCAATATGTAATTTTACTGTAAAAATATCTTAATTGACTTTTGTTTAAATTAAGGTTTATAAACTATACCCATTTAAAGAGTAAAAAACAAAATACCAACAGGCTTTGCAGATCACAGTAGATAGTATAGCATATACCCAGCATCCCCCCACCACACACACAAATGGTCTTAGCATGGCACTGGCAAGTGGCAATTAGTAATCTAGAATAATAATAAAATTATACATTACTTTGCTTGTTCTATATGGATAAAAACCACCTTGATCATTTTTAGTGATGGAACCTAAAATTGAACTTATATTAACAATTACAGCTTTATTTACACCAGTAGAAGTATTATTTTTATCTGATGCCATTTTTAATAACGGTAATAGTGCCTGAAAAAAAGTATTAATAAGATAATTTAAACATTACAGTATAAACAAAAATTATGCATAATTCTTACTTGTGTTAACATTATAGGACCAATAGTATTTATTTTAAAATGATTTAATAAATCTTCAGATTTTACTAAGCCAATCCTAGTAAATTTTGATGATATCCCAGCATTGTTAATCAGGACATTAAGACCTTTGTCTTTGACAATATTTGAAACTTGAGAAGCCAAATTAAAGAATGATCCATGATCAATTAGATCTATAAATATAAAATATAAATTTATAACATAAAAACATTTGGTACTCAATAGATATTAGGAGTTATTTACATAATATTATGACATTTATTCATCTACATATTAATCTTATCATTCAGTAGAATTTTAAGACCAATCATATGAAAAAATATCTGATAGAACTGTAATACCTACACCGTGCACAATGAATCTTTATAATATATATATATATATTAATAAATATTTAATGGAAATATGTCAATGATGAGCACAGTAATTATTAACATTTCATCATTAAAATTTTAAAATGTATTTTCTTTTTCTTTTAGTTACTATAATTTTCTTATAATTTAAGAAAATACAGTAAAAAATGTGGAAAAATTGGCTATAAAGATAAAATGTTTTAAAAAAAAACTTATTGCTGATATGCATAATAAATTGTTACATTGGCATATTATTTTAAAATATTTAATAATAAATAACAGTGTTTTATTTAAGTATAGGTAATTTATATAGGTACATTTTTTATTGAGTCTTTACTGAGCATTAGTAAACATAATGCTATAAAATCCTAAACAATTTTTCTAAGCTTCAAATAATAAGGTGATCTAACAGGGACATACATAGAAAAAAGTTTTGGGGTGTTTTTGAAAATCAGTTATTAAAAAATAGAACTTTATTTTAATAAATATAGGAAATACACAATAATTATACTTAATAGGAAATATGCCAATAATACAAAATAGGTAAGAATTTTATTTTAATTATAAATCCTGTTTAAGTATTTTTATTTTTTTTTCAAATTATACTAAAATTTTAATTTGTTAGTATTAAATTTTTATTTTGTTTTAGCCGATTTTTCACAAACACAATGTAATATTATACTTGTCCAAAAGTATAAACGATTAACATTAGAATAATTGAATAAGTAAATAATTATACAAATAAACAAATATTTCAGGGGTGTTTGAACACCCAAAACACTCTCCTAAGATATTAACATAAATTATTAAGAAAATATTAAATTAAATAAGTTGGTAGATATTATATATTTAAATAATTGTATTCTGCATGGAAAATAATTATAGTTAAAATTGCAAGTAAAAAGGAAAGGATAAGAAAATATAGATTTAATTATTTACCTGCTTCCAAAATATGAAGTTGTTGATTCTTTTTTAATTCCATTAATTCCTGAAAAATGAAAATTGTATTCTATTGTCTAGATGTAAAATAACATATATTTTATATAATTTATTGAAAAACATATATAACTTAATACAAAAAAAAAAAAATTGATGGAAAAAAATCTATTATGATAAATTAATTAAAATTAGTAATATAATTTAAAAAAAGTTGTGAGTATTCAAACTATAAAATCCTTAAAAAAAATAGGTTAGTATATTAGAATAATATAAAAAGGTAATAAATGTATGTTATGTAATAAAAAAATAAGTAAAACTCACATAAAACTAAAGAAGTCTAAGATTAAAACTAAATTAACTCAAAATTATCAAAATACTAAATTAATAATATAAATATCAAATATTATGTAAGATTTTAAAAACCATGTATCCCAATTACCAAGATGTTTTAAAATAAAATTATGTCATGAATGAATTATTTCAATTAAAATATTAGCATTACAAATACAAAAATATAAGCCTAGTAAACACCTTAAGCCAATAACCAAAATGTCACAAATATTTTTTAAACAAAAAAAATTAAAAAATAATATTTTTTTAAATTAGATTTATATTTAACTATATTTTTATTTTTTTTATTTAAAATGTTATTACATCTTTGATAAAATTTAAAATTATATATATTTATATTGTAACTATTTTTTTATGTGTGATGTCAGTAAATATTAAAAAATGATGATTTTAATCATTAATTTCAAAATATAAGTATAAAAAAAATAATAGGTTTTGTATGCAAAAATTAATGTAATATATTTGGATTTTAAAATTTAACTTAGTAATGTTAGATATATTTTGAAAATTATTATAAAACTCTGTCCCTTACTAAAAATGTTTGTTAAAATAAATAAAAAGTTATTAACCTAATATTCATGTATTCATATTCTATAGGAATGTGAAGAAATTGATAATTGTTTTGTTTTAAAAGGTTTTAGTTTATAATTTATAAATTAAGGTTAAGAGGACTTCATACACAGATATATTGTTTCCGCCTCACTAACATAAATCTTCAAAAATTTGCATTCTATAGAATCCATTATATGCTGTTACCTATTAGTTTTAATATTAGAATC